GTGGTTTCAGAGTGAGAGTACCTGACTTTGAATCCTGTCAACAAACTTACAAATGGTATGACTTATGGGGACCAGCAGTTAATGTAATGGCTATGTTGCTGGACTCCCATGTAATCAACCATTGTTCAAGTCCCAGACCCTGTGGCTTAAACTCAAGCCAAGCGCATGTGCGTGCGTGCCCAAGATCCCAAGAGGAGAACGGAGGAGAAGGGATTGCGGCATGGCCATTCCCCCAGGGGGTGATTTCTTGCTTTCTGTCTCTCCGTCACTCTCTTTCTGGTGAGCGCACGCACCCTATAGCAAAAACCTCATTAAAAAAATAAACAAATAAATTGTATGACTTGTGTTAGTTTCTTAACTTTCTTAAGCCTGCTCTTTTCATCTGTAAAATTGGTTTTAAAATAGCACCTATTTCTAGGTGTTATTGTGAATACCAGTGAAGTACTATGCATAAAATACTTAACATCATGCTTCTTAGAAACTGCCAATACATAATTACAGTTATTAGTACTAATAGAAAGATTGTTCATTAATTAAAATAGTAGACATATATCTACATATTTTATTTTTCATATGTTTTCTTTTAAATATGATAATAATATTAATGGGACCAGCAGATGCAGATGACATAATGGTTACATCGCCAAATTCCCACGTTGTTGACCACTGTTTAAGTTCCAGACCTGGCCGCTTAAAACTCACTGGCCATGTGTGTGTGCCCAAAATACCAAGAGGAGAAGGGATTTCGGCATATCCGTCTCCCTAGGGGATGATTTCTCGCTTTCTGTCTCTGGTGAGCTCTGGCGCCCTATAACAAAAATCTCTCAGAAAGAAAGAAAGAGAGAAAGAAAGAGAATGATAGCAATATTAATAGATCACGAAGAAAGAAGTTTGGGGTCAGCAGGTGGCATCGTGGCTAAGGTGCTAGACTCCCACATGGCCATCTGTGATACAAGCCCAGGCCTGTTGAGTTGAAAATCACACCAAACACGTGTGCGTGCATGGTAAAATCCTGAGAGGAAAATGGAAGAGAAGGGATTGCAGTGTGGCCACCCCCTCACCCCCCAATGGGGTGATTTTTTACTTTCCCTCTCTCTTCCTCTCTCCAGTGAGTACATGCACCTTGTGACAAAAGCCTAAAAAAAAAAAAAAAAAAAAAAGTTTGGGCCGGATTCCTGGTGCAGCAGTAACGCACTGCCCGAGAGAAGCCAGGTCCTGGAGTTGGTTGGAACCTCCAGCCTGGTCAGCCTGAAACATGCCAGGTACACACAAGAGTGCCCAAAATCCAGTGGGCAGGAGGACTAGAGGAAGGTGGTTATGGCGTGATCAGACTCTGCAGAGGGCGCTGACCTTTTTCTCTCTCTGTCACTCTCACATGCACACATGTGCTCTATCATGAATAAAAAGAAGAATAAAAGCACCTGAATAGTCATGGTGAAGAGAAACTATTAATTTTAAAAAAAAAGTTGTTTAAGTCCTTGGACTTAGTGCTTTATATTATAACTCGTTTAGATGTAAATTAACTCCTAATCAGCTGTGTTATTAAACTTTTTTTTAGTGTAATTTTTACCAGAGGGTGTGTGCTCCCTACCCCCAAGTCAGAGAGGGAGAGAAAAAAAAAGAAAAGAAGAAAGCACATCCCACAGGGCATGATCACACTGCAATCTCTTCTCCTCCATCTCTCCCTCCTTTCTGGATTCTGGGCATGCATGCACATACATCAGCATGTTTTTCTGGGACTCATACTGCATAGCATGCCATGGGGATCCAGCCATCTTAACGACCAGCTCATCGGCTGTCCCTGTTATTATACTATTATTATGCTTTTTATGATTTTTTTAAAGCATTTGAGAATGACATAACAGACTTGTGAAAGACTGATAAAAATCATAATTAAAAATGTGTACATGGTTGGAACAACCTTCAACAAAAAAGAAAGGTGATTCAGTTAGTAATAGAGTTACCTGTGATTTTTATATTGTTTATACTTTTCAGCATCTTCTAAAAATTACACAGTAAGCTCTTTTTAGGGTCTTCTTCAGAAAAATAAGTTTTAGTCAATTTTTTTGTGAAAAGATGCTGGTAATTTCTATGCTTTGGTGACATTACTTCTAGTGTTAAGAGCATTCTTACAAGATATTTGGGGACTTATCTTTGAACATGCTACAATTCTCTCAAACAATTTTGGTGAAGGATGGATTACGACTGAACACCTTTTTAGAAAATAGCCATTTAAGTATTTCCCATATATGAAAAATGATCCAAGACCACTATTGCATTCTTATAAGTGATTTTGCTTGTTTCATTTTTAAAATATAGGAGTAAAGGTTTTCAACATAGCCATAGTTTATAAATTTCAGAAGCAACTTTACCTTAGTTGCTTTAGAGAGCAAAGAGTATCTTACCTATACTGGCCAAGTCCTCTCTGTTTAGGCAGAAATAAGATGAAGAGGAAATAAGTAATATTTCTTCCTGCCTCTGTAACTGAAACAATATTCAAATTTATAGGTGAATTTTATTTGTAGCAGTTATTCCCTTTATAAATCCTGAGTTTATCTTGTAGGTGGCCTTCTAAAATACACTTTATATGATTTTGTAAACTGTGCTCAGACTTTGGCTTTATGCCCGACCTCCCAGGTTGCAAACATCTACAGTGGACCCCAGTGTTAAAAGAAATAATCTCCTCCCCCCCCAAAAAAAAAAAGACCTAGAAAATATTACAGATGTTAGTAATAAATTATTCAGTGGTATTCACATTGAAACAGTAGTAAATTATAATATCGATAGTGGTAGTTTATAAAAATAGTCCCAGTCAGAACCCTGTCCAGGAGGGAGGAGATTGTCATTCATTAGCCAGACTTTAGAGAGGAGACAGCTTCCCAGACTGTTGGAGAGACAACTTCCAGGCTGCAAATGTTGCCCAACCTGGGCAAGGCCAAAAACCTCACATAGGAACTGTGGAGAAGCAGCCATTGCTCCCAACTTTGCTATAAAACTAAAGTTATCCTAAAATAAAAAGACTATTTAAAATAATAGACTGGTCAGGCATGGTGGCGCCCACCCTATGGTAAAATAATAAACTGGTGCAGCTTGGGAGCACAGCAGGTAAGTGCTGTGCACATGGACCTGGATCCCACTTGGCCACCCATGGTTCAAATCCCAGCCCCAGCAACTTGAAAAACACACTTTATATGTGTGTTCAAATTTCTAATAGGATGGAGCAATGGAGAAAAAAAGGATTGTAGCATGATCATACCCATTGGTGGGTTTCTTATCTCTCTCTGTGACTTCATGCTAGACAGAATAAGTAATCAATCAAAGAGTTAGAGTTAAGGTAACAGGCAAAAAGGTATCAAATACTCCATGTATCAAAAGATCAGTAAACACTTGAGAATGGTTTTTAAGCTTAACTGGTACTCAGAAATTCATATTTAAATAGCTATAAGGTTATTATTTTTCTCCTATTTGGCTGGCAACCTTTTATTTTTCAATGATTCCTATGATTGGCCATGTATAGGAATATAAAATGGAGCAACCTCTCTAAAAGACATTTTAAAAGTAGATAAAAAAAAAAAAAAGTGCCTTTTGAAGTAGCACCAATCACAACCAGGCAGCAACTGTCATTACTCACAAAAATGTCTTTTCTAAAGAATTACCTTATTTCATTTTCTTTATCATTATTATTTTTTAATTTGACTAGAGAGAGACAGAGAGAGAAAGTGAGAAAGCAAGCCACCAGGTCTGGGACTCAAACTTCTGAGGTGCTAGACTCAAGCCATATGGGAGTCCAGTTCCTCAAAAACTATGCCACCTGCCAGCCTCCACAAATGTCTTTTGACAGTGTTGTGTGCAAGAGCAAAAACTCAGAAATCAGCCAAAAACATGTATTTATGGGATTGTTTAAACAGATGAGAAATTCAGTGTACAAAGCAATTCAGACATTAAGAATAATACTGGGGGGACGAGCAACTGGCGTAATGGCTATGTCGCTGGACTCTCATGTAGTCAACCACTGTTCAAGTGCCGGACCCGGTGGCTTAAACTCATGCCAGGCACGTGTGTGTGCGCGTGCCCAAGATCTCGAGAAGAGAATGGAGAAGGGATTGTGGTATGGCCATTCCCCCTGGGGGTGATTTCTCATTTTCTGTCTCTGTTCGTATCTGTCTTTCTGGGGAGCACACACACCTCCAAAAGTAAAGGAAGAAGAAGAATACCATACAATGCTATTTGCAGATGAAGTTTTTATATTACTTGACTATGCCAAATATAAACCATGTATATACTACGTCATGATATTTCTGTATGTATCCTTTGATTATATGTATGCAAATATCTCTCAAATCTGACACTTAAAGATTGTAAGTGGCATTAAGTCCTATTCATGATTTAAGGTCATTTTATAAATGCTTAAAGAGAGTTAGCATATTGCTAAGTAACATATTAAGTACTAGTTCACAGCTGTGATTAAAATTAGACTTCAGTGTTTATCAGGCTAGTGAAGGACCAAGTTTTCATTACTAGAGAGTGTGTGTGTGTGTGTGTGTGTGTGTGTGTGTTTATGTTATGTTTAAGTTATTGCACATGGATACAAAAAAATGGGATTTGGGTACAATATAATGTTGCCTGTGGTTATCTCTTGACTGGTGGTGTTGGGGCAACTCCCCCCCCCCCCCCCCCACCCTCATTCATTTCCTACATTTCTGAAGTTGTTTTTTCAAGGAACAACAGAATATTTTTTGTAATGAGAAAAAAAGTGTTAGATGTTGTGGTTTTTAAAAAAAGTATTTCCATGAAACTACTAACATTGAAATCATCTTTTTGTTAAACAGTGTATTTTTACTTTGTTTTTCAGCGTGTATTTAGTTTAGACACAAATTTTCATTCACACAGATTTACAGTTATGAGTTTGTAAGTACTTGTACTTTCTACTAGGTTAAATTTTCATGAGCCATTAAAAGCATTGTTATGTTTGACTAGTGTTTCATTCTTTCTACTTTTAGGCTGGTGTTTGGAATGCTCTATCCTGCATATTATTCATACAAAGCTGTGAAAACGAAAAACGTAAAGGAATATGTAAGTATACTTTGTGAGTGACTAATATGTCAGTAATACACAAAGCAAGGAAAACTGGTGTTCTTTGAGAAACAGTTAAATGTGATATAAGTGTGAAGTACTGAAATTCATTTTTTTCAAACTAATTGAAGTCAACTCCAAAGCATATTTTCAAAAATAGTTCACTACAGATTGGCATTTAAGTAAGTGTTTGGTTCCCAAGATGAGTAATTGAATAGCTCTTAATTTAGTCTTACAAATTCCAGTATAATCAGGAGTTGGAGGACTTTTTGTTTTATGGCCCTTTTGGTGGTTGGGGGTGATTAGCTATTTCAATTTTTAGGTACACTAGAATATATTTCTCTAGCTTTAAAGTCTTTTTCTTTTTCATAGGTGTTTAATCACTTTCTGATTGACATAAATAACCAGATATTCCATCACTATTGGCAGTTGGAATCCTTTTTCTTCTTAAATTGACTCTATCTCAATATTTCTTTCTCTTTGAGTTTCTTTACCCTATTTTCTTTTTTTCTTGCTTTCACTAATCGTTTTTTATCTTTGCTGTAAGTTTCCTCATTCTGTTTTATTCACAGTGCTTAGTAGTAAATGATCTTCCCTCACCTATTAATGTATATGTAACTTCCTGTGTGTATTGGAGTGAATTTTCAGAGAATAGCAAAAGGATCTTATTGGTGGCTAATCAACAGGGGTAAGCAGTCAGTTCTCACGTAACTGCATTCAATAAATATCATTTCTCTTTTAATTGAGGTGATACTCATAAAATATAAAAATTAATCATTTTCAAGTGGAATTTAGTACATTTATTTAGTACATTTATAATATGGTGCAAACACTACCTCTTCCTACTTTCAAAATATTTTCATCACTCCAAAATTAAAACCTGAGTTCATTAAGCAGTTATACCCTGCCTCCCATTCCTCAAGCTACTGGCCACTACCAATCTGCTTTCTGTTTTATGGATTTCTCTATAATGGACAGTTCATGTAAATGGAATCATATAATGTGTGACCTTTTGTGTCTGGCTTTTTTCACTTAGATAATATTTTTTAAGAACTGCTTATTTCATTTTATTTATTATTATCTTTTTTTTTTTTTTAATTTGATTGGAAAGATTGAGAAAGAATGAGATACTAAGCCTCCAGGTCCAGGACTCAAACTGTGGTCGGCCATGTAGAAGTCTAGCACCTTAACCACCATGCCATCTGTCAGCTCCAATAATGTTTTCAAGGTTCATCTTTGTTTTAGCATGTACCCGTATTTCATTCCTTTTTGTAGATGAATAATATTACATGGTGTAGATATAGCATTTTTAAAATCTCTTGATATGTTGACAAACATTCAAATTCTACTTTTTGGGCATTTTGAATAGCGCTTGCTACAGATTAATATACAAAGATTTTAGTACCTCTTTTTAATTCTTTTGGATATATAGCTGTGTGTTTTTTATTTTTGTTTTCTAAAAGAGATTTTGCTATATGGCATGTACACTCACCAGAGGACAGACAAAGAGAGAGAAAGTGAGAAATGATCCCCTGGGGGGAGGGATGGTCACACTGTAATCCCTTCTCCTCCATTCTCCTCTCAGGATTTTGAGCACATATGCACATGGGCCTAGTGTGAGTTTCAAGCCTCTAGGTCGGCCATATAGGAGTCCAGCACCTTAACCACTACACCACGTGCTGGCCCCTATAGCTGTGGTTCTTTGTAAGAGATCTTGGATTGGTAGTTTGTCATCCAACTCAGCAACTGATCATAGACTAGATCATGATTCTTTATTCTGTAGTTTTAGGAGGTAGGAATGGGGCAGATTCTGAAACCTCTGTAACTCATTCTATTGAAATGTCAGTCGTTCTTTTTCCTGCTTTATATAATACCCGTTTTTTTTATAATTTTATTTTTTAATTAATTTTATTTTTTGAAAGATGGTCTTAAGAATAGGAACCACAATAAGTTCTAATACTTTAAAATCATTTTTATAAGTGGCTCGAAGAGATCTATTTTAATGCATATTGTAATAACTACTTCAACTTTTGTTTTATAGTACTGGCAAACATTAATTTTTAGAAGCCAGCACTAACCTGTTAGCAGTGATTCCCAAGATGCCTATGGTAGAGGTCCAGTTTTGTTTTGTTGTTCCGGTATCATAGACCAATACTTTTGTAAAACAGAATAAAAATTAATTACTAGGAAAAAAGTGAAATAAAAAAAAGCAAAAACAGATGTAATACAATCCCAATTTTTTTTTATTACTAGATTCAATAAACATAAAATTGTCTGTTTTTATACTTACAACATTTCACAGCCTTGCACAGTTCCCTAGATGACACTCTGCCCTACTGCGTAATATTTTAATTTGATTGGAATTCTCTTTTGAAAAATAAAAAATAAGAGTTGCCTGTTATTTCCAAATACCATGAAAATATGAGCTGGGGAGTATAACTCTTTAAGTGTTTATACTTAATAAATGTGAAGCTTCTCCCTACTTGGAATGTTTATGATACTGGGGGGGTTTTGGTTTTCTTGAGAGATTTTTGCTATTAGGGCACATGTCCTCGCCAGGGAGATAAAGAGAAATGGAGAGACAGAGAGCAAGAAATCACCCACTAGCAGGGATGGCCACACCGTGATCCACCCTTTCCTCCAGTCTCCTCTCGAAATTTTGAGTATGAAGGCACACGCGCCAGGTGAGTGTTAAGCCACTGGGTCCAGGACTTGAGCCGTGGTTCGACTACGTGGGAGTCCAGCAATGTAACCATTATGCCATCTGCTGGTCCCTGATACTGGTATTAAATGAGATCTTTCTCTCAATCTGAGCACAGGATGATATGTCTCAACATCGGGCCCACTTCACCTACCAGGCATTTCAGAGACCTAGGGTAATGATTGTCATGCCTCTGTGTATGTGTGCTTATGTAGATATTTGTGCTTACGGTACTCTCTTATCTTGCAAATCAGCTCTCTTTTGTGGGAGAAAAAATAAGTACAAATTGAACACAAAGTTTAAATAAAGAACAGAAACATCGAAAATAAAAACCAAGAGGACAGCGATAAGAAAAAGGTGTTAAATAAGTTATAATAAAAGGAATGCCTTGTTATCTGTACCTAAAAAAAAAAAAGCAGAATGGCTTGTTAAGAAAAAAAGGTGTTAAATAAGTTATAATAAAAGGAATAGGCTTGTTATCTGAATCCTAGAAAAGCAGAAAAGATGTAATTTGAAGATTGTCCTAAGAATCATTCTAGTAAGAGTAGTCCAGGGGCCGGCAGGTGGTGTGGTGATAAAACGCTGTATTCCCACATAGCCTACCACAGTTCGAATCTCCCATACCTGGTGACTTGCTTTCTCACTCTCTTTCTCTCTGTCTCATTCTCTCTCTGTCCTTCTCTGGTCAAATTAAAAATAAATAATAAGTAAAGTTAAATAAAATGATTCTTTAAAATCAAGAAAGAAGTCTGGGCCAGCCAGTTGCATGGTGGTTAAGGCGACTGGATTCCACATGGCCCACTGTACAGTTGGAGTCCTGGACCCTGATGCTTGAAAAACATGTCAAGCAGTGTACATGCATGCCCAGATCTCAAAAGGAGGGAGAAATGGAGGAGAAGGGCATGTGGCATGAATGTCCTCCATGGGGAAGTGATTTTTCTTTCTATCGGTCCCTCTCCATCAAGTGCATGCATCCTCTTCTAACAAATTAAAAGAAAAAAGAAAAAGAAAGAAAGAAAAAGCAACTCATTAACATTTTTATTCATACTGACCAAAACTCCATAAAATTTGTGTTCATGTATAAATATCATATATGTACATGTATATAATTAGATATATACTTAACACAGTTTTTATAGAATGAAGTGTTTATTAACAAAGTAAAAACTGTCTGTACATCATTTTGTGGTAATACTGTTGACTCCGAAAAAAAGTTTTTTTACTCATCCCTTTAGGAAGACTAGAAAAATGAGAGATTCAGGACCAGCAGGTGGCATAATGGTTACTTGGCTAGACTCCCACATAGTCGATACCCCATGGTTGAAACCCCAGACCCGGTGGCTTAAAACTCACAAAATGCACATGTGCATGTGTGCCCGAAATCCCAAGAGGAGAATGGAGGAGAAGGGATTGATACATGGCCTTCTTCCCCCACCCTCACCCCACCTCCTGGGGGTGATTTCTCGCTTTCTGTCTCTTGTCTCTCTGGCAAGTGCATGCGCCTTATACAAAAATCTCTCAAAAAAAAAAAAAAAGAAAAGAAAATGAGGGATTAAAGAGAAACTAGAGGAGTAGAAAGGTAGGTGCCTAGAGCTGGTTTGAAAAGTACATGTTAATTTAAAGCTCCACTTCATTAATATAATGAGAGCTAAAACCAAAAATTATCAGGCACTGAAATAGAAAGGGCAGGGCATCTGTCTTTGACAAGAAATATGATACATGTGGGCCAGGTGGTGGTGCAGGGGTCACATGAGTGGATACACATGTAAGAGGCTCTGGATTCGCATCATGGGCCTCCCTAGGCCTACAGGCACGTGCACATGCCTATGATCCCGGACAACTGAGATTTAAGGGAGGTAGAGTGGTGTGAGGACTCTGTTAGGGGTGCTATCTCTTGGAAAAAAGAGAAATCTTTTAAAAATACATGTAATGAAACTATGAAGACCTATTAACCAAGTTCTCTGCCATCAAGGCGGCCAAGAGACTTAAATTGAGATGTCATCGCGGGCTAATATTGTAGCTTCTATTTATATAATTTCCTAGCAGTTCAAAATACTTTTGCATATCATTGTTTCCCATTGCTGCTATAACGAAATCCTACACTCTTACTGGCTTAAAATGACGTAGGTTTATTCTCTTACAGTCCCAGAGGTCAGAAATCTAAAATGGGTTCATAGGGCTGCATTCCTTCCCAAGGCTCTAGGGGAAAATTCGCTGCCTTGCCTTTTCCAGCTTCTATGACTGCCCACATTCCTTTTCTTATGGCTCTGTTCCTCCACCTTTAAAGCTAGGAATGTTG